TTACAGGGTTTATACTGAGTTCAATATTGTATAACTGTATTAATTCAACTATGAACCTAGAAACTTGCACCCACTTATGAAAGAGATGTACTCTTGCTCTGGAGTGTGTTACTGAATATGTTAAATCTGTAGTGAAATGCTTCTTCTAATCATGTAGTTATTAAAAATTTTAAAAATGGTTAAAAAAACAAAAATAAATAAAAATAAAAGAAGACCTCTCACTACCTATCTTTTCCAAAAGTTTCTTGGTATTTCAAATTACTTTTCCATTATGAAATTAGATCAATTTTTCAAACCTTTTTGCGTGTGTGTGTGGGGGCAGGGTCTATCTATAGCCCCAGCTGGGCTGGAACTGGCTACATAGACCAAGCTGGTCTCAACCTCGCAGAGATCTATCTTCCTCTGCCTCCTGAGTACTGGATCTAAAGGCGTGTGCCACCAAACCAGGCTCCAGCATTTTTCCTGACTCTGTGTAAAGAAAGAAGGGGTTGAAAGTGTAACTCAATGCTAAAGTGCCAGGTGGAAGGAAAAGAGGGAAGGAGGGAGGGAGGGAGGAAGAGAAAAGAAGGGAGGGAGGGAGGGAGAGATTAAGGAGCTCCCACCTCTTTATGATATTGGGTCTTGGTTCCCTAGAACACAGAATACCTTTCTATTCATTAAAGCCAATGTTTGTGCTCCTCTGGAATAATTTGAAGGTTTTTTTTTTCTTCACATGGATCATTTCTACTTCTTTTATTTCATATGTATGACTGCACTGCCTGCATGCATGTAAGTGCACCTGTGTCATGCTGGATCTTTCCCATTTCTTACTCACATAATTCCTAGTTACCTCATACCATTTATTTATTTATTTATTTATTTATTTATTTATTTATTTGTGTGTGTGTGTGTTCATGATGTGTTTCCACTTGCTACAGTCTGCATGTGGAGATTAGAGGACAACTCTGTGGAGCTAATTCTCTCTTTCCCCAGGGATCGACCAGGCTCTCACAGCAAGCACCTTCACACACTGAGCCATCTCACTAGCCTAGCTCAAATATTTCATTTATACTCTTACTAAATGAAATCTTTTCCCAATGCATCTTCCATCCGTTTTTTTTAAATATGCAAAGCTCTATTAATTTCCAAACAGAATTTGTGCCTTCTTTATTTCTCTTATTATTAGCACTAGTTTTCAATCTACAACACTATGTTAAAATATCTCTTCCACGATCAGTTTAGAAGACTTAAGGAAGGGCAGCACACAACAGGGCAGTGACACCCTGTGTCCCACAGAGAGAATCTCATGCAGGACTCAGAGTGGACCAGAAAGTGATTTGTGGCCATTGGTGCAATTCAACAACTATTCTCAAGGCATTTCCGAATTAGAGTCTGCATTTGAAAATCACAGACACTGGGTGGTTGTAAGATATACTGGTTTTTGCTTTTCTTTTGCCATGCTGGATATTGAACTTAAGTCGTAAAAAAGCTTATTGTAAATTGTTAAACATAAATACTGTGGTCCAGCTGTTCCTTCCTATGCCAGGATACCAGTAAAAATATTTTAAAAGCAGCCCTTTTCATTAGAATCTAAAACTGAGCCAGGTGTGGTGGCACACGCCTTTAGTCCCAGTGCTTAGGAGACAGAGGCAGAGGAATCTCTTTGAGTTCAAGGCCAGCCTGCTAGTCTACATAGTGAGTTCCAGGCCAGCTGGGGCTACAGGGAGACCCTATCTCAAAAAGACAAAAAAAAAAAAAAAAAAAAAAAAAAAAAAAAAAAAGAATCTAAGAATGCCCAAACTACAGTTATCTTTTACAAGGTGAGTCTCACATATGGTACTTAAAGAAAAGCAAGCTTCAACGCTGAGTCTTGCACAGAACAGGTTGTGGTAGCTTATACCTGTAACCTAGTTCTCAGGAGGCTGAAGAGTTCTCTAGCAGGAGAAGCTAGAGTTTGAAGCCAGCCTGGGCTACACAGTGAGACTCTTGTCTCAAAACAAAACACATAGAACCAACAAAATAAAAAATTCAAAAATGTTACACAGCACAATTTCACTTATATAAAGTTAAAAAGGTAAAGCTAAACCATATTGTGCAAAAGTAGAAATGGGGTGATTTTTAGAACCAACAAGAAAACAAGGACTGCCAAAGAGAGGGCAAGTCCTGTAAGGGCTCGAGGTGACGGATTGCTTTGGGGGAAGGGCTAACAGAAGCTTCTGGCATCCCGAGGCAAGATTTTGTCACGCAGTCGTTCTCCTTACAAACGCTTCTTAAGCTTCATGTCCATATTTTAAGTATTTTTCTGTATGTACGTATGTTCAGGAATTATAAAAAAGAAAACCAAAGCTATATGCAGTGCACACATGGAATCCCAGCACTCAGAAGGTGGAGGCAGGAGAACAAGAAGTACAGGGTCACCCTCAGCCACACACAGTGAGCCCAGGACCAGCCTGGAATACGTGAGATTCTATAGCAAAAAAATAAACCAAAAAACCACACTACACAACAGGTATGCATAATTTTTTAGTAGAAATATAAGATATGAAATGGTTAATGCTTGAAAATAACATACACTACAAGGAAAATTGATCAAAAACTTGACAGTGGTTATTTCTAGGTAGTAAAAGCTTACCTTTGTTCATTTCCCACATTCTTTGAAATAATCACGTTTTGGTTGTGTATTTAGAAAGAAGCAAAAACTTAGTGTACAAGAAAAAATGTGCCAGGCGTGGTGGCGCATGCCTTTAGGCCCAGCACTCAGGAGGCAGAGGCAGGTAGAGCTCTGTGAGTTCAAGGCCAGCCTGGTCTGCATACTGAGTTCCAGGTCAGCTGGGGCTACAGGGAGACCCCCGTCTCAAAAAGGCCGAAACAACAACAACAACAAAAACAAAAGAAAGAAGAAAAAAAGTCGACTATTTCCTAAATTAATATATGGACATTATATAGACAGGGATGTCAGAGAGAACACTGGCTGAGTCCATCTCAGGATTTCCCACCATTTTCATGAATGGAAAATATGAAGAAACACGTCACTTGATGAACCTATGTTAAGACCATTCCAGAGACAAACAAAAAGGAAATCCAAGTTTGGCTTGGTCAACAGCTGTTCTCCTTTTCCCTCTGGAGGAGCAGAGCAGAGAAAGAAATAAAGGAATCATGGAGTCCCGGGCCTTTAAGGTCACTCTGGATTCACATCTATCACCCATGGAGAAGAGGAATGGAGGAAGATCAGAGAAGTCTAGGCTGTCATGAGCATTTCTAGAGTTAGAGGAGGAATGTCATCTATGCTGTCCAAGACTGGAATCTGTCCTCCCCTCACTGGGGTCTCTTAGGACAGAAAACTGGAGTCAAGTGGGCAGAGACATCTACATTCCCAATGCTGCTGTCACTCACCCACCACAGGGACCCCAAACACCCTCACAAACACACTTTACTCACTACAGCACATGGTCACAGTCACAGTTACACATCCACCCTAAGGATACAGTCCCATCCACACGTTTACAGAACTCCCAAATACAACACCACGCAAAACCACACTGCTACAAGTGGTCAAAATATCACATTCATACAGAGCCACACAACCGTTAAAGTTCCCTCCAGTTTCCCTAATGAACATTATACACAATCACGCATCCAAAGTAAAACAACACTAGGACATACAGTCACTCTGACATCACAGTATTCTATAGAGTTACATAATCATTCGGGCATTCTTACATAGAACAGGCATCCAGTGTCTGTCTCCCTCCCCTCCCCTCCCCTCCCTCTCTCCCTCCCTCCCCCCCGTCCTCTCCCCCCTCTTTCTCTCTCCCGTGTCTCCCCCTCTCTCTCTGCCCCCCCCTCAGGCTAACTGCCACGGATGCAAAATTACTGATTCTCTAGCATATCCCTCGGAGTTATACCGTTATGTACTATCAGTCAAATCACACTAAGGTGCACACGCGCACACAAAGTTCTGCGCAAGTTCACTGCCAAGGACACACCCACCAGAGAAACAAAAATCACAGGCGCTCATACTGTGCCCAAGTCACCTCCAGTCACACGTACACTGAAGCCAACAGCTGGCGACCGCTCCCCAGCCAGACCAATCCCCACAGGCCTGACACCTCGGATCCGGCCTGGCCGGACCCCAAGGACGCACCTGTAGAGCCTAACCAGGGTCTAAGCCGCTCACCGCGCACTTTCTCTTCCCCGGACGCCGAGGGTCCCGCAGGCAAAAGAAGGGGCTGCCTTGCGCGCGCGGAGGCTTCTGGGAAATGGAGTCCGCGATGGGACCTGGAGGGAAAAATGGCGCCCATTCTCGGATTCCTGCCAGGATACAGTCTGTACTAGGCCGAGGGTCTCGCTGCGCGTCGGAATTGCAGGCCTGAGTCTCCTAGATCCATGAAGATGTAGGCTAAGACCGAAACTCTCCCTCAACGCAGGGCCCACATCCTGGAGGCAAGCGTCCTCCATAGTACCGGCCAACCCCAGGGAGTCAATGTACGTTCCCTGAGAAAGGAGACCCAGTCGCCAGCTTCGCGCCGGAAGTTGAGTAGCGCCCCAAGCATTGCTGGGAAATGTAGTCTAGAGCCGGTAAATGCGTGGCATGGGCCTAGTGGAAGAAAGTTGCTTAAATGACTTTTGAACTGAGCCTGTTGGCCGACGTGGCTAAGTGGCCACCTGAGTTCTGGACGCTTCTGGGAGTTGTAACCTCACCGCTGGCAATGCTCGGGATGACAGACAAAATTGCCAATTTTACCTTCCTCCGTTGGTCAGCCACAGTATAGGCTTCATGATCCGTTTATGTGGCATATCTGGTTAAAAACAAAACAAAACCAAAAACCCCCACAAATCTACAGAGCCGGCAGATACTACTTATTTAAGACTGGCAGAGTTAAGGGAAGGTTGTGAATGAGTGATTGCTGCTAAATAGGTATAGGTTCTTTTAGAGGGCAGTGAAATATTACCAAATTAGATAACTAATGTTTTCGCAACTCGGAATATACTAAAATATCACACTATGAAAGAGCTGGTCCTTGGAATTGAATCCTAGAGATTGAATTCCTGCATATGCTGTGCACCAATTTTGTGGTTTGTGAATTATATTTGTGTGTTTTTAAAAAAGTAAAATCTGCTGAGGTACAATTTAGATACAATGGAATGAGCTAATCTGAAAATGAACTGTTTGATGAGGTTTAACATGTACAAACATCTGTGTTGCCAGGTCATATTAAAGATAGATACCACTTTTTTTTTTTTTTCCTATTTTCACCCTTTATTTGGAATACTGGGTAACATTAGTTTCAGACTTTTAGATGAATAAACATGGTGGTAAAGTGTTGAAAATAAGTGTGGCCTGAATTCTGAGAGTAAGTGGTTTTCCAGCTTAGGGGGTAGGAAAGAGAAACACAAGATCATTTCCAAAGGAGAAGAAAACACATTGCTAGGGTGAGCCACCAAAGGGTTTGGCTTCAACTCTCTAAGGGCAAGATCTTCAATACAGCAAATCAGAATCTCCAATTGTTCAAAGTAATTATAGGTACATGAGAGAAAGCAACTCCAGCCTGACTTATTAATTGATCTGGATGACTTTGAAATGTCCCCCATTCCTGAGGTGGCAAAATCTGAGTGACTGTTGGTGCAAGGAGCCTTTCATGTGCTCCCAGTTGTTATATATAGTGCATAGAGGCTGGTAAGTGTCAGTCCTGCCAGACCACCTCGTGCCACTCCTTGAAGACCACCTGTACATTTATACAACATGCCTGTCATGGTTCCAGCTGCTGCTGTGTTGAGGTCATCTTCTGCACCTCGTGCTTTCTCAATGGTGACACCAAATGCACCACAGAGCAAAGCCAGAGAACCTAAAGTATTAGCCCAAAGTGACCCTAGCCTAGTCACCATATTCAAAATCTGTACATTTCTTGGTTTGGACCCGGCCATGTCCTGGGTTTCCTTCAATCTTAGCCGAAGACCATCCATTGCCCCAAACACAAAATCAGTCATGCAACATCCTCCAAAGGTGAAGAAGGCTAGTTCAAATCTGTCCCGGTTTTATTAGCTGTCCCGGGTTTTATTAGATGGTAAAATAAACTCATCAGTATCCTGAATGAGATATCGTGGATCCACATTTAAATGAGACACAGGATTCATATCAGTTAGTGGGATGCCAGCCAGATAGGCGGCGGGCGAGTACTGGGTTCCTCCCTCTCAGAAGAAGCCGGCTAAGCCGCCCCTGGTCTTGTTGCCATTTCCCCCACCGTCCTCCATGACATAGCTGCCGACTGCCGTGGGCTTCCCACCGCCACCTCAGTCCAGGGTCGTGGCACCCATGGCAACAGCTGAGCCAAACCCGCGTTCCAACTGCCACCTTCACACGTTGACCTTCCGGGTGCCGGCTTTGATAGATGCCACTTTTATCCAACATTCCCCAAACTGCTTTTCCACCAACTAGGTAAGACATTCTTTTAATCTAGAGTTTTTTTTTTTTTTAATTTTCAAATTTTATTTTCAAGTTTTTTTTTTTTTAGAAGCATTTCATTACAGCTTTAACATATTCAGTAACACACTCCAGAGCAAGGATACATCTCTTTCAAAAGTGGCTGTAAATTTTTAGGTTCACAGTTGAATTAATACAGTTATACAATATTGAACTCAGTATAAATCCTATAAGACATAAAATT